TCATATCTTTTAGCCTTTTGTTTCTGATCATGGGGCATTCTTGGCAAAGATACTGGAGTGGCATTGCCAGTTCCTACTCCAGGTGGATTGCGTTTAGTCGGAACTCTCCACTATGTCCTGTCCGTCTTGGGTGTCCCTGCACGGCATAGCCCATAGCTTTTCTGAGTTACTCAAGCCCATTCGCCACGACAAGGCAGAAATCCATGAAGGGGTTGGAATGCATTAAACTTCGTTTAATGCGTTTCAAATGGGCCCAAAACTCACCATTCTGCGATGTTTCCCCATCCGGTCGCGGCCATTTTTGGTGTTCCGGTGGCCATTTTTGGTGTTCCAGTGGCCATTTTGGGTGTCCTGGTGGCCATTTTGGAACTGCCAAACAGCTGTTCCCCCATCGCAATGCGAAGAAACATCGGTATGCATTAGCCATCGCAAAATCCGCATCGCTATGCTGATTCATTGTTAAACGGTGGGCTCGTTATGCGAGGCACCACTGTAATTCATAAGTATCTTCTTTTCTATATTATCAGACTAATAATTCCTCAGATTCCCAAACTAACTCCCTCTCTAACTCTGACTGAACTGAACTCCCTCCTCCTCCCTGGCTCCGCCTTTTCACATCTCTAGTGGCCACATCTCTCAACCACATCAGCATAAACATGAATAATGCATGATTTATTTAACATAATAAGGGTGAACACCACAGCCAAATTTTTAGGCCAGAATTCCTTTAAAAAAAACTCTGAATCCGCAATAGGAAATGCCACCTGATGAATTCTCCTCTGCCTGTTATACAGCTGCTAAAGGTAGACAAGTCCTGCTTTTAATGTGTGGGTAGTATAAAGGTGGGATTTTGACAATTTTTAGCCCAAGGAAGCTATGTACTGTGTGTGAGGGTTCGCTGTTTGGGGCTTCCCGCCCGTCCCAAGAAGGAGTCGAAACTGCTTTCTCTGCTGTTAACTTTTCTTTATTAAACGGAACAAACGGAACGTCGTTTTTAACTGGTGCCTTTGGTTTTGTCTCTTGCCCTGCAACAGGGTCGGGCAAGGGTATCCATGTAGTTTCACAAACAGTTTTAACAGGTTCAGAGTCCCAAGGTCCAACAGGGACCTCCCCCAACAGTTTGTCCTTTCCTTCAGGATCAAACGGACTCAATAACGGGAGGGTTTCTTCGTCTCCCATCCAACCCCACGACAGGTCTCCTTCCCTTGGCGAGGCACTCCAGGGACCAGGTAACAGCCCATCTTCTTCAGCTCTTCGATATGCCATGCCTGTCTGGCTGCCCTTTCCCTTTCACTTGCCTCTTTCGCCTCGGCCAGCTTCTTATGCCAGAGCTTAGCCTCCGTCTAATAAAAGAATGGAGATAGCCCGGAGCAGCTTCCTTATTAAAATGTTTAAAAAGTAACATACACACCAAAAATTTAATACTGGGTTTTAGAATATGCGCTGTACAGCGGCACCTATGCTGCTCAGCTACAAGGCACAGAAACAGCCTTTAATCGAGCTTGCAACTGAAAAGATAGAAGCCTCTGAAATGTGGATTTGTCCCAAGACGCTAACGATTTCCCAGATCGGGAGGCCAACCCGTGAAAGACTAAATGAAGGCCAAGGCATCATAAAACACCTTAAATGTAGAAAGCTAGAATACTTTGGCCATGTAATTAATGACTGAGAAATAAAAAGTGCAGGCCGGGCAATTCTTTCAGGTAAACTGAAAGGAAGAAGTGCCAAAAGCTGAACAGCCTGGAGGGCGATGCAACACTGTTCAGCGCTGCCACCCCCCAAAAGGAAGGCTCCCATCACGACGCCCAAATTCCTGCAAAATGGAACCAAGAAAGTCCTCTCCGATCCGCTTTTCTGACACCGTCCTTCCCTGTGATTCTGACACTGTTAAAGACCGGGCCAATCACTGCAGAATGTGCGGACCCGCAATCACAGCCCGGTTTACTCTACCATCTCAGACACCTAGCCCGCTCGGCGTTCTATCACGTCCCCTGATTTCCTCCTACACAAGGTTCTCCCC